CGTCACGTGGTGCTTGCTCCTTGGATGACTCGTTGCTTTGACGTGCATCCACGTGTTGTTGTTCGTCACGTGGTGCTTGCTCCTTGGATGACTCGTTGCTTTGACGTGCATCCACGTGTTGTTGTTCGTCACGTGGTGCTTGCTCCTTGGATGACTCGTTGCTTTGACGTGCATCCACGTGTTGTTGTTCGTCACGTGGTGCTTGCTCCTTGGATGACTCGTTGCTTTGACGTGCATCCACGTGTTGTTGTTCGTCACGTGGGGTGTGTCCCTCGAGTTTCTCATCGTCGAAGTCATGTAATCSATTAATCAATGATTCAAGATCATCGAGATCTTGCTGCTTAATAGTGYTATGTAATGTTTGTATCTCGTTTTCTAGTTCGTAGCCGTACGCGTTTAGACTTGAATGTCCCTTTCTCTGAAGTGACTTCGGGTTCGTTTGCGCTGAAAGGTTCGTTGACATAGACAACATCGAAGGACATGCGCTTTCAGCCTCGTTTCTTCTTTGTGCGATATGACTTTCTATGTTTTCAATACAATCTACGACACCATCGTTCATTATTTCAACGTAATCCATGAGCTTCGYCAGTTCTTCCTTTTCGACATAACAAGCATATTCGTCTGCTGCATTTTCAAACTCTTTAAGAGCATTTTCTAGTTTGTCTATGAGTCCCTTTAGTCCTCTGCGACTCCCTCGAGTTTCGATCATATGGTTAGCCGATTTAACGAGTCTAGACACGGTACCTTTCTTTCTGTTAAACTTTCTTTGGAGTCTCTCCGAATCTGGGTTCCAAYAATCTTCATATCGTTTTGGACGGTGTATTTTTCTTTTAGGTCGTTCTTCAGTCGATGTAGCCACAGGTAACCCAATCGTTGGATTAAGTTCATTCGATTTCAGACATCCAGGCGACAGGTTTATATCATCGGCGATTGTGTTTTGCTGAGTCAGCTCGCTGACTTCGGTGTTTTCTTCTACCATATTAATGCCATAAACCTCGCTCTGCTACCAGAATGTTCTCATCGTTTCGACTTGATTACGCAATCAACATGAATCAAGGACTTCGACCAAAATAATACGTGGTTTAATCGTAGTTTTGCCGTCGGTTACATTTACTAAGGTTAAACATACAGACTATTACAATGGAGACTAACGAGCAGAGTAAAATATCGAAATTACAAGGTATAAATTGGTTATTAAGTAATCTAAACTTACCGGGCCGTCAACCACGCCGAGCACATGTCGAAGTGACACGGCGGGCGACGGCCAGCGGTATTACAACTGAAAAACAGGAATCCCGTACGATACGAGCAAAACGCGAAA